TTTTCGTGTGCTAAATATACTTCTTGCACCAGGCAAGCAAAAAAGCGCTCTCACAAGCTATTACCCCTCCTAAGGAGCTCGGTGCTTCTACTATGTAATGTACTTTAGTTCTTTAATTTATTTTATTTTCATGCTCTACTTTGCATAATAATTTTGTCAAGGGGCAGGACTATATTGTAAGAGCAATATTGCCTGTCTTCTGTTTTATGTTTTATTAAATAATTCTGTTATTTGTTGTGTATAGTAATAATGTAAAATAAATTATTTTAACAACTCTCTATACAGTCTCACTCCTTCATTGAAACCTCCTCTGATGTTAGATTTAGTATGTCATTAGCAGCCTGCAGTTGCAAAATCCTCTTGTACAAAACCACACGAAATTGTTTTCCAAAAAGAAACAAAATTCCAAAGGACAAAAATAAAAAGCTTTCCAATAAATTTAATATTTTTAACACAAACAGTTTTCACAAATATTGCAATCACACAGTATAGTACAGAACATTTCGCATAATACAAACAAGTACATTTCTTTACATACCAAGAATATCCCAAAAGTTACTGTGTCATAAGGCAAAATGCCAATAAAAATATTTAATAGCATGCGGCACCTTCCTTGAGGAATTGCTGTCTCATTACGTCAGCCGTGTCGTATGCATTGACGCACGGAGTAAGAGAACTCCGTCGATACGACAAGATAGAAGGCGGAAACAAATATCTGTAGTTTTGAGAGAAGATCTAAACTATTTCGTTATATTCTGATTCTTTGGGTATTCTCGGGTGTTAAATGAAACTATGGATATCCGCCAAGGGTCTCAAATCGCCAGAGGCTGCAGAATTGTGTTTCTATTTTCGTGCGCACTGGAAATTATTAATAAAGATTTTTACTTCTGGACATCTCTTGTAGATTTTGTTCCTAAACCTTAACGTATTATATTAACCGTATTATATTAAACCGTAACTTATTAATGAAATTACTAAGCTCTTTAGTGGATGGTACAATGAAATCAAAGTCTTTTTGGTTCAAAATGTTTAATTCCACACTTAATAGGTAAGTCCAATACAATTGATATAATTTTAATGGCCAATTTATTTGTGTTACGCATCAGATGGAATGACAATCTGTATCGTTTAATTTACCGTAATATCTCAACTGACTTTTCCCAAAGATTTTTCATGAACCAATTACCCAGTTATACACCCCTTCGCCGAAGCAATTTATATAACCCTTACATTTAAATTTTGCGGCAATTGCTCTGGAGTTGGCAGGAACTCTAGGGAGCTAGTAACTTCGCTCGCGATCTTGACACACCTGTCTTAAATATAAGTTGTCTAATATGCTACTTATGTTACCACAATGGTACCGTGCCAGCTGTGTAAAAGAAGTATATTTTTTTAAGAAATATCAGAGTTCTTAGAAATCCACCAACGAAAATCTAATGCCAAAATCAGGCAAACCTTTCAAAATAGTTTCAAACATTATTCTCTCATCTACATGAAAAAGAACTTGATGAAATCAAAAACGTAATGAGAGATGGTACAAGTGACTGAATAACCACTGAACTCCCATAGTTTTAATGTTTAATGCAAATCGCATGTCTATAAAATAATGAAGAATCCCACAAATCACAAACAAAATATTATTGTTTATAATGGTCCAAAATGTTTATTCATTCAAATAAGTTTTTAACATTAAAAAATATTAAACACATTATATACATTGAGCATTGTATATAAATGATAAAGTATAGTTTTAAGTTATTTTAATATATTTTATATAAATAAAAATGTACGTAATTTTATATAATTTTATTAAAATAGTTATATTTTATATTCACGGCTTCTCTTTTTTAATTGTAAAATTTTATTGCAAAACGGTTATGGTATCTACAGAAAGTAATAATAGCACTTCCACGAATAATTTCATATATTTTGAACGAGCTAGCCTTTGAAGCTACAGCTATGCCAACTTGTGCGTTACAGTATCGACAACTTTTGCTCCAGCGTATCCTCCCTCAGCGACCAATATAACTTCCTAACAATGGGGCGCTTCTGCTCCTTTCAGCGTGCCACGCCAACTCTTCACCGGAAGCACTTCCGAAATTTTCGCTGGGGGCGTAATTTGCGAGCCCACAGAAGAGACTCAAACATTTGTCATGATCCACGCGGGCGCACTTCCTCTTATCAATGTCCGCCCGCGAAACGAGGGAAGCGAAGGGGTTGAGGCTCTCGGGGGAAATAAGCAAATTTCCCCGGCGGCCGAATCGGGCAGGAGCACGGCGCGGCGCGGTGCGGTGACCGCGTGGGCGACGGGTCGCCCTGGGGAAGGGGGTGGGGGAGTTCAGCGGAGGACATCGAGGGCGACGACTGGCGCGGTAGCAAAGGCAGCCCCGGGCAGATGGGCGGAAGTGGGCGGGTAGACGGAAAGCGGCGCGGATTTGCGGAGATAGGTAGACGAGGGACGCCGTTTTGATTGGTTGGTTGCTAGTGATGCAGGGCGCCTCAACTGCTAAGGTCATTAGTCCCGTAAGTGAAGTGTATGTTTTTTTCCTCGGAGGTGGCAGACGTTCTCCCACGCTGGATGACGAGATCCGGCGCCGACAAACAAATGATTTTTGTAATGAACTTGGAGTCCATTCTTACATCATAACTAGACGTATTTAATTTGCTGCAGGGCCTAATAATTTAAAATTATTTAAACATATTTATGACATTCAAAATTTTGCAGTTATGTATGCAAAAGAAATAAAATTTATGATAAATTAATGTCCATTTTTAATAAGAAACATTTCATTCTCATAAAATTAAGTTCATTAACAAACATTAGTCGGAAGAAAAGGAGTAAAATTTCTCGCAGAGAGTTCAGAGAAAGAATAAAATATTATATTAAATATTGTACTTATTTTGTAAACACTCGTATATGAATTACTTTACCTACTTACATTCTCGCTGAACAGTAAAATTTCCTTTTCCAGCGATATTCCGAATCGTCGAGAACAAGCGTGTATACGTAAATAAAACATTTTCAGAAGAAACATGATTGTTTCTACGGTAATGTTCTCATTATATTCCTTTTACAACGTAGAGCTTTAACAAAATTTAACACTCTCTTCAATCAGGTCATACATTTTATTCATTGTTTATAATTCTTCAGGGTACTCCTTTTCAACGTACTGATGTGCTTTGGGGAAAAGGAATCGGTAGTGATAATTACTCAAAGTGCACTACGTACATTCATTAGTAAATGGCTAAGATTTGGCTTTTAATTATTTCATCGACTGAACTCACTTTCGAGTACCTTTCACTCCATCCTGGAAAGTGACTGACACGATTCTCTGAGGTGCTAAAATATTACTTCCAAAAAGGCAGAGAACAGAGATGAAAATTGCAATCTCCCGCCCGAACGGTGAAATTATGGTTTGAAATATGGAGAGGAATAATGGAAAATTGAAGGACATCAGCGGGAGAATTCTCGAGAACTGCTTCTCTCCGCTGGGAATCCCGACGTGATGCCGATGATATAAATGAAGCGATCGAACAATCCAACCGATCGTCAGTTTCCTCCTCCGAATTTGAAGAGATAGAAGAGAAATCGAGACGTCGAGGTGCTCTCATTCTTCACTTTCGATGACAGTCTGCACCTCAAAGATCCAAGTAATTTTGAAAAGGGAAAGACGGAAAATGTAAGAAAGCAAAAACAGAAAAAAAATAGTTTTCCACTTGGAGGCAAAGCAATAGTAAATAGCTGTGTAGATTCTAAGAACTGGTTTCTTTAGGAAGACAGCTGCAATATGTTTCGTCAGAATTCTTCCAGATGAACTGGATTGTCAAAACTTCTCAATTTTCCCTCATTAATAAGGAATAGAGTTTAGAGCATCGCATCTTCCTAAAAGAGCTGCTTTCCTCGTCCCATTAACCATCGCTGCTGGTGTTACAAACATTCTCACAAAGTCACGACCCCCCTCGCAGCGCGACAGGAAAAGATGTGCTAGAGAAAGGAACAAACTACGAGTGCATGCCCGGCCGGCCCTTATTTCACCTCTTTTCTCATTCTCCGCTCTCCCCTCCGTTTGTGAATCTCGCTTCTTGTGGACCATGAATCTTTCTCCCGACTTTTAACTTTTCCATTATTCCTGTTATATTATCGTCGTGCCCTTCTCTGCCTGAAGCAACGGAGTTGAAACTTTTATCGCTCCGTCGTCGGCCGGCCGTCCGTTCGACCCCTCTCGTAGCACCTCGGCGGCGAGGGCGTCGCGAGGCCCGCACAGGGGGCGGGGGCTGTGGTGGGAGCCAGCGGTGAGTTGGAGTAGCGGGGGGGTCGGCGCGGCGGCGCGGTGGCGTGGCGTGCGTGGCGGGGGGCGGCGGCAGGAGCAGCGGCGGAGCTGTGCGGGAGCGGCGGCGGATGGCGGAGATGCGCGGTGTCGGGCGGCCCGTCGCAGGGCTGCGACAGGAGATGCCGGATGGAGGCTGGGATAGCGGGAGGCGGCGTTGCGGGCTGACTCGGGGCGGGGCAGAAGTGGGGTTACCAAAGGTTGCGGCGGCGGGAAAGTGGCAGACGGAGGCAGTATGGGGGCGGCGGGGTGCGGAGTGGGCCGACTAGAGTGAAGGTTGGAATGAAGGGGCAGAGAGACGGGGACGTTGGCGGTATTTGACTCGGCGGCGAGGTCGGCAGCGGGGATGGCGGTGGGACTGCGGCAGAGGGCGATTGGCGCGGGGTAGCGCGCGGGGGCGACTGGCGGTGACGGCGTTGGCGGCGGCGGGGGTGGCGGCGGGGGCGGCGTGACCGGGGACAGCGGGGCGGCGCGACGGCTGGGAACAGTGGGGGGCGGTAGGCGCGGGCCAGGGTGCCAGCGGGCGGTGGCGGCGGCGGGCTTGTGGTGCGGGACGCCAGCGAGGTGGCCGGAGGCTGGACGTGGGCGGTATTAGGGGGGGCGACGGGCGCGGGGCCGCGTAAGGGGGGCGCGGGGGGGGCAGGAAGGCGGGGGGCAAGCAGAGGGGGAGAGATGCTCCGGCTGCGCGGCGCGAAGCCGAAGTTTGGCGAAGCCCGGTGTGATAAGGCGGGACCAAGGAGGGCTGAAGGGCAGCCGCTGGGAGGGGAGGAAGGGGAGGAAGGGGAGGGGGCGGAGGTGAGGACCCACTGAGGTGCGCCGGGTGATAAGCTCCCTTGTACCGCCTATCTGCCGAGCCAAGTGCGAGCGCACTCGCTTCAATGACTAAGGAGTTCAGGCTGGGTTTGCGATAGGAATTAAGAGATATGTCAGAAGGATGCGGTCTGTGGCAATTCTCAATGCTTGAGTAATGCTCCTTCCTGTATAAAAGCGTAGATAGATTACTTACTGTTCATTAATATGAGTAACATCTGTAATGTACATGTCGGTTTTGAGAGCTACCTATTTAAGTTTCAGACATAAATGGAAATGGCAATTACATATTTCTTTTATCTTAACATTATCGTAATTTTTCTCCTCTTCTAGAATAATTCCAAGTATTTGGTGAACGTAATGTATCTACGACCCCTGACAGATGTCATGCATTTCCTTTCAAATAATCGTTAGGAAAAGCTTCACTAATTTTGTAAGAAAATGGATCACAGTTTGAAAGTTTTCCAACAAGAATTTGTTGCCGCTATTTGGGGAAAGAGCAAATTTGCTATCGCGGCTAGGTGTCCCGTACATGGTTCAAAGACAAAAAAAAATACTTCACTAATGTCAAAATGAATCAGCCTCAGGATTTGCATAATTAAATTTAAGTTGAAGGTAAAGTTTAATGAAAAGTTGGAGAAGTTGTTTGAGCTGGTGGCGTGTGTTGCAGTGTCGCCGCTGTCGGTGCGTCTGGTGGGCGCCAACCGGCCGCTGACGGCGCGCGTGGCCCACGAGGTGCAGTGCCAGGCCGTGGGCGGGCGGCCACCGCCGCACCTGGCCTGGCGCAAGGCCGGCCTCCCGCTCATGGGCGCCAGGCAGTCGGTAAGTCTCTCCCACCTAACGTCTTCTTTTCTCAACCCTTGCCCTCGCCCTCGGACGATTATCATCTCGATAACCTTGGCTGAACCTTTCAGCTAACGAAATCACTATCAGGGAGGTGACATCAAGTAACCCCTTCGCACATTGCTCGTAGAAAAATTACTCGGCCAATCAAGTGAAGAGCCTGTATCATTTTAAAAAAGGCCTCCTTGAAACATCCAACCCTATGTGCACTTTTTAAAGTGAGTATTTGTTGTTTTCGGTCGAAGCACGTATTGTACTCGTCAGTCCCATAGGTTTAGTGCATGTTACACCCGGGAATTCGAGAAGTTCTTCCTCCCTGGAACGGCTATTCGGCGCTGACTTCCAAGTTCACTCACTCCAGACATAGCAGAAAACTGCCCCAGCTCGGAAACGCTCTAAGCTCCCAACTGGCCTTCATACACATGTAGTAGTGTAATGCTTGTAACTGTGAATAAGTGTGTTTATGTGTGGGTGGGTGTTAGCGAAGAGAAAGAGCCACGTGTAAACACAGATGAACGCGCTGTCCACGGCCCGTTTGTTAGGGTAATGCTCCGGCACTCATCTGGTGGTGATCGGAGAAACCACAAAAAACGACCGATCAGAACAGTCGACCATTAAACTCTGCTCCAGACCAAGATCGAAATTCACCTAGCCAGATAAGAAGTGTAAATAAATCCGTCACCATGGAAAGTCAAAATCTATAACCTTTCGATCAGCGATTCAGTAAAGACAACGTATCAACGATTCAGCAAGCCATCGAAGTTTGTCTATGCAGTTTCGAAATAATATTATTCTAGAAATATGCAATTAAGATATATTTCATATGGGGGGGATAATAGGTTAACTTTTATTCATCTGTGTTTCCAGGTTCCAATTGACTAGTATGTTTAAACTGTTCTTACAATTTATAAAGAAGTGTAATGAAATGTATTGGCGCCATTTAACAATTAACAATTATTTTTGATAAAGCCCAATAAAAAAGTTGATTTCTCAAAAATGTGAAGAATCTGACTTATGCAACAGCTTATCCTTATCCTCCTTTTAAACTTTTATAAGATTCAAAGTAAAAAAGCAAATTCAAGGCCAGATAACCATATCATTATCGCCACACTACTTGATCCTATTTCTGTTACCATTTATTTTTTATTATTTTCTTTTTCTTAATATTTTTAATTAACTAAAAAATTTATTACAGATTTCGTAAAAGTTAATTTTACAGCGTTTATTTGATATCGTTTGTACATGATATAGCACCTAAAAGAATTAGAATGTTATTCGAAGAATTCATTCGATAAACATGTAAGCGTACATTCTGAAGTATTGTAGCTTACGAGATCTTATGGAAATTCTTTTCCGTACAATTAACTGAAATATTTTGACCGTAACTAGAGAATACTGAATACGATACGAATACCATAAAATACCCGGAAACACTGTTCATGATGAATTAGAGTCTGAGGAGAAGGAAAGCCAAATATTTAATTACTTTCCAAGTTCATTCATTATCTCAAAGTAATTTTTTGAGCGATATTCAAATACTTCCAGTATTTATGTTGCCACTTCTCTCCATTGACACACCTCCCCCACTGACAATGTCATCAAACGCAAACGCATCGCAAACGTTGTTGAACACGAACGCGGAAGAAAGGCACACCGAGGCAGAGGCAGGCCCTCGACTGCTGCGTGAAATCAAACAGTCGGCGCAGAAGCGGCTAATTTTCGAGTTGGCAGGGAACAAATGCAGCTGGAGGTA